TATATATATATATATCTGGGAGAACGTTCCACTTTAGGGGTATGATCCTCTGGTAACATTATTAGGAGAAGACTAAGTTTTGGCAAAGATTGATAGTGTCAATGAAAAACATTGCTCCAGGGGCTCTCACCATAGACAGTCAGCTGCACTTTCCTCTTGGCATAGCCCGCTGCATTGGTGGCGGTGCAGACATACTCCCCACTCTCTTCACCTCCTGGTGACACCACGTACAGACTTCCATCAGCACCAGCAGAAAACTTAGCACTGCTGGTGGAAATCAGCTCTCCTTTCTGTAAAACATAAGAACAAAGTGAGTTTAAGATAATAAAGGAGTGACTTCATGTCTGGAAGAGAAAGAGAGAACCAAAAATGAAAGCTCCAATAAAGATGTTAGAGTCCAGGTGTGGCACTGTGGGTTAAGGTACTGGACTGCAAAGTCGGTTTGAATTGCAAGTCTGGTGGTTCAAGTTTCCCAGGAAACCCTATACAGGGTCACTATAGGCACTTAACAACAACTTGAAGAAAGTCATTTATAAGAAAAAATGGACTTGGTGATATTTCCTCATATTGAACTAGGTCTCCTTCATTGTAGACCTACTAATAAAGAGAGAGAGTAATGTTAATGACATTGGGTGGCACCATGAGTACTTATGTTATGGCAGATGCTGTCTAGAGCACTTACCATGAATGAACGATTTTACTGCTAATGCCAACCTTCTAAGTAAGAACTACCTCAGTCTTCACTTTACAGAGAAGAGTTTTCAGTCATAGAATGGTGAAGTCACTTGCCCTAAGTCACAGAGCTCATCAGTGATTCCAACCTAGTTAGTGGAGCTCTGGGGCCAAACTCAACTCTTGTGCTGGTTTACAGCACAAAGTTCCAACCTAACCAAAAAGAAATTTCATTTGCTTCTTAAATTAAAATGCATTCAGCTCCTGCTAGGTATCAGAAAGACTGCAATCTGGGAGATGCACTAGCATTTTATGTCCAAAACATAAACACCTGCTTCTTCACATGTGAGAAAATTTTAAACTTCTTGTCTTTGAGTCCATTTTGATTCATAAAAATCCGATAGAACAGAGTAGAACTTCCCCATAGGGTTTCTGAGGTTGTAAATCTTTCTGAAATCAGACCGCCTCATTTATCTTCTGAAGAGCTGCTGGTGGTTACCAACTGCTGAACCTCTCAGGAGCTGAGTGCTTAACCACTTTCAATTGGATAAAATTGGCCAGTATGTCATTGATTTTGAATCAATGAAATGTCACATTGCATTATTATAAAATTATTTCATATTACTTTACATTTTCCTGAGTTAATTTACAGAAAGTATGCCATCTTCATGGTTATTCAAAGATAGAAAGGCTTCTTCAGGAAAAGAGTTATCCCTCATTGCAAGACTACAAGTAAAAGCTATATGATAAAGATCTAGAGTATAATGAATTGAACTGTGTCCCTGAAAAAAATAAGCTGACATTCTAATCTTTGTATCTATGAGCATGATTATGCAGTAATGACTCCCATGTTATGAGTCAGAACTGACTCTATGGCACCAAACAACAATACACTGCTTGACTAAACTCTAGTCAGGCTCAAGCACTATCTTCACTACCATTGGTATACCTGAGCCCATTGTTGTGGTCACTGTGCCAATCCATCTCTTTGGGGACTTTCCTCTATTTCTTTGATCCTCAACTTTACCAAGTATGATGTCTTTCTTTAGGGATTGGCCCTTCTGATAACATGTCCAAGATACATTAGACCAAGTCTTGCCATCTTCAATCCTAAGGAACATTCTGGCTATACTTCCAAGACATTTGTCTTCTGGTAGACTATTCTTCATTAACTCCATAATTCGAAGACATCAATTCTCCTCCATTCCTTCTTAGTCATTGCTGAGCTTTTGTATGTATGTGAGACTATTGAAAACACCATGGTTTGGGTCAAGTATACCTTAATCTTCAAAGTGACATCTTTGTGGGTTTTTTGTTATTGTTTTTAAATACTTTAAAGAGGTAATTTGCAGCAGATTTGCCTTAAGGAAATTTGCACTTTGATTTCTTGACTGTTGCTTTCATGATCACCGATTGTGGATCCAAATAAAATGAAATCCTTGACAACTTCAAGCTTTTTTCCCACTGTTGCTTATTGTTCTAGTTGTGAGGATTTGTGTTTTATTTATGTTGAGGTGTAATCCATACTGAAGGTTGTAGTCTTTGATCATCAGTAAGAGCAAGTTCTTTTGGCTTTAAGCAAGCAAGCTGGTTTCACCTGCATTTTGCAGTTTGTTAGTGAATCTGCCTCCAATCCTGATGCCAAATTGTTTTTCATATAATCCAGTTTCTCAGATTATTTGCTCAGCATACAGATTAAGAATGGTGAAAAGATGCAAATCTGAAGCACATCTTTCCTGATTTTAAACCATGCAATGCTGCCTTGTTCTATTCAAATGACTGTCTTTTTACCTACAGGTTCTACAAAAAAAGTTCAGAGTTTTCTTCTTCACAATGCCATCCAGTTTGTTTTGGATAACACTGACTATGCAGAGGTACATAGTGGAATGCCTTTTTAGAGTCAATAACTTAAATAAACCAAACCCACTGCAATCAAGTTCATTTCAACTCATAGCAACCCTATATAGGGTTTGCTGTTGTTGCTGTTGTTAAGTACAATTGAGTCAGTTCCGACCCACAGTGACCCTGTATAGTGTTTCTAAGGAGTGGCTGGTGAGCTTGAACCACTGACCTCGGGGCTCAAACTGATGTTCTGGCCCAGTACATTATCCTGCAGTGCCACTAAGACTCCATACAGGGTTTTGGTGGTGTTAAGTGTCATCAAGTCAGTTCTGACCCACAGTGATCCTGTAGAGGGTTTTCCAGGAGTGGCTAGTAATCTTGAACCGCTGACCTTGTGGTTCACACTGACTTTGCAGTCCAGCTCATTGACCCACAGTGCCACACTTGGAAAACTGTAAATCTTTTGTGGAGCAGAGAGCCTCTTCTTTCTCCTACAGAGCAATTGGTGGGCTTCAACTGCTGATCTTGAAGTTAGTTATTGTTGTTGTTGTTAAATGCTATTGAGTCAGTTTCTACTCATAGTAACCCTGTGTAGGATCTCTGAGAAGCTGCTGGCTGGTGAGCTTGAACTACTGATTCGTAACTCACAGAGCCACCACGGCTCCTTTATATAGCCAGTAAAACAGAGTAAGGAGTCTGGTGTGGCATTGTGGGTTAATGAACTGGACTGCAAAGTTGGTTTGAACTTACACAGGGTCATTATGAGTAGATTCCACTGGACCGGATGACACTTAATAATAACAACAAATATTTTATTTGGTAATGCATTATCTCACCTAAAATAAATAAATTGCAAATTTATTTATTTATAATAAATTGGCCTTTTTCTTTAGTTGCTGAGTATAATCCATGGAAATTGCTGGGTAATCAAAGTGCCTCTGTTACCTAAAATCATCAGACAAGACTTGAGAATTCATGCAAATGAGTGAGGGTCTTGTCTTTGTTAAATGCTAAGAGGAGTTGTTGTTGTTATTAAGTGCCATAGAGTGGTTCACATTCACAGGGACCCTGCATATGGTTTCCAAGGAGCTAAACTGCTGGTGAACCGCTGATCTTGAGGTTCACACTAACTCTGTAGTCCAGTTATTAACCCATAGTGCCACACCAAGACTGTTGTTGTTGTGCCATTTGAGTCAGTTCTGACCCATAGCAACCTGGTATCGGGTTTCCAAGGAGCAGCTGGTGAGCTTGAACCACTGCCGACCTTGCAGGTCAAACGACCTTGCAGTCCAGTACATTAGCCCATATCGCCCCGCCAGGACTAACTGGGTTAAAAAGACTACCTGGTCAATTCACCTCAGGAAGGGTAGCTAGCATGATTTAATCAATCATGCATATTCCGTGAAGCTTCAGTCATAACTATGCAATGAGGCCAAAAGGCTCTGAACATGGAAGTTCCCTGAACTTCCTGGTTGATGAAAGAATTCATGAATATGAGAAGTTGCTTATGTCTGATGAAATGGAAACTCCACACGGAGATACCTCCCAGACCTCATCCTATATGCCTCTTTATGTTTATCCTTTCAATAATAAATTGGCATACATTCCCCATGTATTCTGTGAATCATAAGCAGACAATAGAAGCCAGCAGTCAAAATGTTGGGAGTCAGATGGAATACGCAAGCTTGCAGTTGGTGTTTGTCTATTTGGCAATATGAAGGACTGTCTTTTTTTTCACTTGTGAGCTCTGACCCAGCTCTAGGTAGTTAAGAGTCAGAGAGAGTGCCACTTGCAATGAGGATAGAGAATAGAAAGGTGAGGAGAACTAGATCCTTATCCACATTTTGCAGATTAGATTCCATGTTGATCCTTGACACACAGTTAGCAATGAAGGTGGGGTTTGGTCATTGTTCCTTTTCTGAGAGGTGAACTTGTTTGGAAATAAGGTTTTTAAAGATGCTACCACCTAAATTAACATGAATTCAAATTAGTGTAGGGTAGGTCCTAATCCAATCTGTACTGAGTTCTTAGAAAAGAGGAGAAATGACTCAGAGAGACAGAGGAAAGATAGCAATGGAAAGATGGAACTATAAGTCAAGGAAGACATGCTTGGGGTTGCCTGACTTAGGAATGATAAGACAGGACCTTACTCTGAAGACTTTGGAGAGAGAATGGTACTTCTAACAATAAAAGTTTTAGCTTTTAGCCTACAGAACTATGAGACAAAATAATTCTGTTCTTAAAAAGCCAGAAGAAATTATCTAAAGAGAGATTCTGTTTGTTGTGGCAGCCCTATGAAACTAATCAAGAAGGGGAGATAAATGAGTTTGTGTGTTGGTGTTTGTTTGGATTCACTTAAGAACCATATCTGAGACAAAGAATTGGGAGCATGAGGTTATCTGGGAAGCAATTCCCAGTGTTGTAAACTTACTGACTTGACTGTACTTTCTATTAATAGTTTTTAAAAATCTGTGCTGAGATATTTTTAAATACTTGAAAAATATGCATTTTATGCACTTGAAATTGTATTTTCTTCCCAAATCAAAATAAAAGAAATAAGAAAAAATATCTATAGCTGAACATAGACTTTTTTTTAATAAATAAAAATATTCTAGAAATACATTTCTTTCTTGAAAAATCAGTGTATTGGAGTCATAAAACAAGTATTGCGGATAATAACTGCAGAAATGAAATTTGCCTTGAGATGCACAGTTTTGAAATTATCCTCTATTAATTTAATTAAATATATGCAGTTCTCAGTTCTTTGTTATAATTCTCCTTTTAATATACATTTAGCTTAATTGCTTATCCTCGTTTATCTTTTCCCTGGTATTTCTAATGCTGATTTCTTATCATGATATAGAGGGTAAAATAATCCTTTTGGAAGAATGTTTAATAGAAAATTAAAATAGTTCTTCCTGAAAAAATGGAACATGAAGCACAGAAAGATGGAAAGCTAACAAAGAGCTTTATTGGTTTGGCTTCTTCTGTGGAATAATAGGAATCGGAGTCCTGGTGAGACACTGAAGGATGAACACTGGACTACTAACTGCAAGGTTGATGGTTCAAACCCACCATTCACTCCTTAGAAAGGATTATACACAGTTACTAACAGTAGGAACAAACTCAATGGCATGTAACAACAGCTGTGTGGTTAATGCACTTGGCTGCTGATTGAAAGACTGGGGTTTGAATCCACTAAGAAGCACCTCATGTGAGTCACAGTTCTTTGTGACTCACATGGGGTCACCATGAGTAAAATTGGACTTAATAGTAACTGGTATGGTAAGGTCTTAGGTTTCATGTATGACCAGAGATAGGAGGGGGCTTTAAAAAGTTCATGGAAAATTAATTTTATCTTTTAATTTCATTTTCTGTAAACTTTGGTACCTCCTTGTATACAAATATTAGTTAGTACATGACATAAGTAAGCATCACTAAAAATGAATTGCCATCAAATTGATTTAGACTCAAAGTGACTTCATGCGTGTCAGAGTAGAACTGTATTCCTTGGGATTTCCAATGGCTGATTTTTCAGGAATAGGTTTCCAGGTCTTTCTTCTGAGATGCTTCTGGGTGGATTTGACCCTTCAATTTTTTGGTTAACAGTTGAGCATATTAATCATTTGCACTATCCAGGGACTCCAATAAGTATCAGATGTGCCATTTACCTTGGACCAGATGATGGATGGTCTAGGAATTCCACTTGCTTTGCAAGGTAAAGTTACTGGAACACCTTCAATTGTACTGAGTATCTGCTGCCCATGCTGAATGGTTGGCAGAACTGAAAAAGCAAGCAGAATTCAGAATGTGAGCACCTATTCATCCACTTAACCTCATGTGTTTAAAGTTGACCATTTTCAAACTATGGCTAATGCTTATAAAAGCTAACAAAGATGAAATCTGTTTAATAGAAACTTAGGGTAATTGATTAGGGAGTGTGCTAAGCAACTAAGAAAATACAAAATTTATGATCTGGAGAATTCTGTAAAAATTTTAAAACAAGTGTTAAATCGTTTCTAATAAAAATACCACCAAGAGTCCTTAATGAAAATAAGAGACTAATGACAATTCACTTTTCCAGGAAAAACAAGAGTGGATTATTCCCTAAGAATTAGACAATTGGCATGTATCTTTGACCAGTGTTCATTATTGCCCATTAACTTGCAGTGAGTTAAGTCTACTCATAGAGATATGGACTGTTTAATCACCACATATTAAATATCTGCCAATACTCAAGAATACTTGGCTAACTAATCAGGTTACTCTAGAAAATAGGGCTGATTGTCTTAAAAATAACTTAACAGTAAAGGACTGAGGAGTTTCTATTTAAAAGACTAAATATAGAATTCTAAATCAACATTTTTCACTAAAGAGAATAACATAACTTTCAACTTCAGAAAGCAATTGAATAATCAAGTCTCATAAGTACGAGGTAAGGAAAAGAAAGACTGTTGATCACTCCATTCTGAAAAAAGTACCAATACTCAATGTTTCTGAAATAATGACTTAGGTTAAAGGAGCTTCCACATATGAAAATTATTAGCACAGTGTAAAGAACACTGTAAAAACTCAAGAAATACCAGCACATTTTCCTTCTATCTTGGAGCTTCATCAGTCACTGTCCTTTGCCTTGAAGTTAGATTTCTCCAGTTGTCAGAGCTACCCTGGAGTACATGTAAGTTTGCCCAAATAGGAGATACTAGGGACTTCAGTAAAGAAATTTCCTTGGAAGGTTTAGATTAAGTTTATTACATACTCATATTTTCCTATGACTGGATTTAATCTTTAGATAATTTCTTCTTGAAAAGTTGGCAGCAAATTTCTAACCCTAAATAAGAACACCAGGCTACTTTCTAAAGCAAGGCATTTAATTTCTAGCATCATCATAAAACAGTCAACTTTCAACTATGTTGTCAATTTGTGGCAACATGGAATAAACCATTTTCATAAATCCATAACAGATTTCACAGTGATGAAGAAAACTGATAAATTCAGTCTAGGGTTTTGAATTCTGATGACATTTAGGTATGGGAGTGCAATTTCTTACAAGACTGTGAATCTACGAGTACATAAATCAATATCACAATTAAACTATTTTATTTGTCATTCCAATTTACAGCTTTATCTGTGTTCATTCATTTATTTTATAACATTCTTAAAACAGAGAGAGGAAAAAAAAAGGGAGAGAGGTCAGAGAGGTCAATGAATGATAGTGCTTATTAACACAAACACAGAGATCTAGAGAAACTTGTGCTGCATCACATCCAACTCAAAGACAAATCTCTTAGCTTAAAGGTTATTTATAACAAATAACGAAATTTTCAAGATGGTCCAACTTCAGGAATAAAGTGTCCATGATATTGCTAAATAGCAACAGGGGCCTATGTCCCCGGGGTATGTGAACAAGATGAATTGGGGGAGGAGGAGGAAGAAACCCATTCAGTAGGAACTTTAAAAGAAGACTACAGGGGTTCAAGATGGCTGCCTCCTGTGTAGTCCTGATGGCACAGCAGGGACATCTCCCTGAAATACACGTCTGGTCCTCATGTTTGGAGCCGTGCACTGTGCCGTTGTAAGACAGATGAGAGCAATGGTAGGGAGCCTGTCTTGGGCAGGCAGAGGCCTGTGGAGCTGGGTGCCCTTGACCTGCAGAAGCTTCTCTTTGGGTGTTTCTGGATTGTTCCATGTAAAGCTTACCCTCTCACCCCCTAAAGTGGTTGATCATTGGAACGAGAAGAGGGCCATATTCTGGGTGTATGACAACATTGGGATTCTGGGTAATTTTGAAAAACACCCCCAAAGAACTGATCAGGGGGTCCCAAATGGCTTTGAGGTTGGAAGGGGAAGGAATTACAACATTGTATCAGAAAGAAGAAAATGATTGGGAATCCAATGTTCATTGATGACCAGCACAAACTTAACAAACGCATCAACTATCTTTACAAACACTTTAATCGGTGTGGAAAGTACCAGTAGAAGAGAAAACTGAGGACTGTGAAAGTGTCCTGTCACCTTGAATAAGGACAACAGTACATTTCCTTAGGAGGGAATGGCTTTGAGTGTTTTCTGTAATAAAATGTGATGTGTGGAATTTTATATCCCTAGACTTTATAATAAAAAAAAATACAGCCATTAAGGTCATAGGCCCTTATCTTTCCATGGAAAGATTGTGAACCCCATATTACTCAAATCAATGTGGAAGGGAGGGGCAGGACAGACTTCTCAGACTAAGGTATAAATTCTTTGAAAACCTGCCACAGCACACATCTGCCTGTGTCTACTTGATCGGGCACCCGATTTTGAAAAACTGAATAAAGAAAACCTCACGCTCACTAAAATAAGTCCAGATTGGATTTCTTAAGCGTTTGTTGGTAAGTACTTGTGATAACTCATCGGTGACCTCATAAGCAAGAGGAACCAAGTATCGGGGAATCAATAATATTTCTCACATTGACTACATCAGCTGCTCATTTTAGACTAAGATAAACTCACAAAGGGTGTTGTAAGATGTCCTTGTAACTTTCTGTTATAAAGCTTTCTTGGATAATGATATCATCTCTTCATCTCACCCTTCTCATCTGAAAGACATCACAACTAATTGTGTCACTCTTTACCCATGTACAAATTTGGACTGAGTCCTTCTTGATACAATATTCCACGTAGGAACTGTAGCCAAATGGAAGGTACATGGGTCTAGGGGATGGGGCTGTATTACTAAACTAGACTCTCAAACCAATCCTTAAGCATTTGTCAGGAAATCTATGGACTGATCCTATTTTAAAATATTTAAACAAAACAGTATCTAGATCTGGCATTAGACATTTACTCCTTTAGGCTATAATTCATTTGGTGTTGATTTGTTATACTTTCAAAATAATATTTCTTCAAGACTATCTCATGGGATGCTGGTAAGTACTTGGCACAAATAGAAAGTGATGGAAGGGTTGTTTAAATGGAGAAGCAGACATGAAAAAGGAAAATCTTTATCCATTAAATGTTTATATACCAAACAAAAGTTGGAAACAACGGAATCAAGTGATTCTCCAATTCATGTGCTAAACAAAGACTGATTTAACTACTAAAAATGAATGTTTTGTGCTACTTTCTTCTCTAAGCTATTCAGCCCTCTACACAGTTATTTTTCAATACTACATTTTTTAAAAAAAGGAATGTTGAAAATTTCTCAAGGGAAATATACAAAAAAAGTTATGATAATTTCTTAAACTATGAAGCTGTCACTTATTTATTGAGCTGTGTAAAACTGGTAACTGGTAGTCACGAATGGAAAAAGATTGCTTCTGGGTTTTCTTATTTGTGACCTTTATTTAACATGCCAGAAGATTGTTTGGTACACATGAGGTGACCTTTAGAAAAGTTTAGGTCATTTTTAACTGAAACACAAAGGAGTCATTAGTAAGAATATGTTTCTTACATAATCCAGAAGGAAATAGAAATTTTGGATAGTTCAAAATAATGTTTCACTTGTCAGAAATTGAAATGTATTTTTAAACATAATCATCTAAGAGCTGAGTTCATTTTTGTCAATTAAGACACCACACACACAAGCCCTTGGCTAGACTCAGCTGGTGAATCCCAGTTAAGTCTTTCTGTGTACATACAAAAGGGAAATTTGTAAACCACATTATTGTTGTGGAGTTGGTTCTAACTCATAGCAACCCTATATAGCATTTCCAAGGAGCGGTTGCTGAGTTTGAACTGCTGACGTTGTGATTCAAACTGACCTTGAGGTCCAGTGCTTTACCCTACAGTACCACACCGAGACTCCACTTAGAGAAGGTCACCTTCTAATTATTCACATTGTTGTTGTTGTTGTTAATTGTGATCGAGTCGGTTCAGACCCATAGCGACACTGTATACAGTTTCCGAAGAGCAGCTGGTAAACTTGAACCACCGATTTTTAGGTCCAAATGGCTCTTGCAGTCTAGCGCATTAACACCTACGCCACATTAGCAGAGTAAATATTGTTCAAAAAGTAAAGCTTTTGGTAAGAACAATTAAGAGACTTTTCGAATGTCTTATAATTAGAGCAATACTTATTTGATTTAAATATATTAGACCAGCTTTGAACATGGTTTAAACAATAAAAAGGGCATGTGCCTTACCATGCACGTTCACAGTGGTGGTTTTGTTATTGGTTCCTGCAACATTACTAGCCACGCACGTATATTCGCCGCCGTCCTGAAGACGAACTCTTTCAATATGGAGGCTCCCATCACTGCGCACAGTGATGTAAGGATTTTGGACCAACTTAAAGAAAAAAAAAGTCATTTTTAACTTAAAGAAAATACCTTAGCCAAAATTGGAGCTACCTTTTTGTTTTTAAGCTGAGTATGCCTTATAAAATAAAATACTTTAACACTAAAGTGAAAAATACTGAGCATAAGCCATTACCAATAGTGGCATCAATTGTATGTATTAGTGTGCTGATTGTATTAAATCTATTTACACTTGTCAGAGAATTATGCATATGCTAGAAAAAGGAAATATTGAAACACCACTTTTTTCATGTTTCAGTATTTTTTTGTTAGCACTTAGGATCGAAATTCTGTATCTGGCTTATATTGTTCTTGTTTAAAAACTTACTGTCAGCAAGTAACACTTTCCTATTATATTCTGGCACACAGGCAATCATTTGAGCTGAAGGAGAGTGAATCTCAACACTCACCCTGTCATATCACAGATGGTACATTTGTTGTTGCTAAGTGGCATCAAGTTGGTTCCGACTCATAGCAATCCTGTATAGGGAGGGGGTCATGGTGTGGTGCTGTAGGGTAAGCACTGGACCACAAAGTCCTTTGAATTGCAACAGCATAGGGTTTCCAAGGAGCGGCTGGTGGGTTTGAACCGCCAAACTTTCAGTTAGCAGTCCAGTACTTATCCTACAGCTGCACACTATCTAAATACTTCTGGATAGCAGGAGAAACACTCTGAACAGGATGAAAATTCATTGCCTGAGACCGCATATTTATGAGAAAATTGCACATAACTGTGAAAATTTTTTTACATAATTTAATATCAAAAGTGATACATTGAAAAACAGTGGCATAATATATAGCCACATTTTAAATAGTTCGTGATAAAATATATAGCTTGTATTAACTACCTATTATATTAATATAATATATTGTCTTATATTAACATATAAAGGAGCCCTGGTATGATCACTGTAGAATAAGTCCTGGACCGCAAGGTCAGTTTGAACCATAAAGTTGACAGTTCAAACCCATCAATCGCCACTTGGAAACTCTATACAGGATCACTATGAGTCAGAACCAACTCAATCATACTTAACAACAACAATAACAACAGTATATAAAATGAAAGAACTTTATTAATAATATAGTGTCTGAGAAGGAAGCACATAAAATATTGATATGCTATGAAAATAAATTAATGTTTCAGATATTCCATATTCTAAGTTGGACTGCTAACCTCAAGGTTAGCAGTTCAAACCTACCAATGGTTCCACTGGAGAAAGATGAGGCTTTCTGCTCCCATAAAGATTTACAGCCTCGGAAACCCTATACAGGGTCACTATGGGTTGGAACCAACTTAACGGCACTTAACAACAACAATCTGAGTTTATTAGTTACATTGCATTTAATGTGAGATTGTGGAAATTATACTGTTGTCTATTTCTCTACTTCATGAATCCCAAAATATTATGAACTCTATGAGAATACTGAAGAAAAATTTTGAGATTCCCTGTAAAAATATACTTTGTATATTTATTCAATGTATGTTGATATTTCAACGGTTGGGATACATTGAGTACATGCATTTAATATACTCTTGGTGGTTGGTGGTTATGTGCCGTGGAGTCGGTTCTTAATATGTTCTTACCATGGCTGAATTCTTAATCCACCGCCGTTCTGGAAGGGGATTCCCAGCCAGTAAGTTACAAGGCAAAGTAAGTTGCTGTCCTTCAATTACATTGGCCACTGAAGGGCTAATTCCAATAAGGGGAGCAACTAAATCAGAGAGAGTACAGATACTTTCAAAACATTTCATCCAATGGAAAGGCAACTATTTTATAAGCCAAAACAGCTACTAATAAAGTAACGAAAATTTGAGCTTTCAAGAAAAAACTTAGGTCACTGAGCATGAATTTGAAAAGAGTGATTGTGGTATCTGTGAGCAAGGAGAATAGCAAGAAGACAAGTGATAGTTGAGAAGTACAGAGAGTAGGGCAGAAAAAGTCTGCAGCAGGGCTAAAATGATGGAAAGCAACAAATGGCAAGCCAAGAAATTGACAATGTATTCAGCAGACAAACAGAAAATAACTGAAAGCATTTAAGTAGAAAAGTGGTATCACTGGAGGCATTATTAGGAAATATTAATATAAACCTGAATAGGAGCTATTGGAGAATGCTGGGCCCAGTTGGGATGAGGACCCCAATGGAAGGGACAATGTCATTGAAGAAGCTGCTATAATAACTCAAGAAATAAACAAGATGAGTTCTCTGATATGTAATAGTAAAGAAGTATTGTAAATATGGCTTCTTCTAGAAATCAAAGACCAAATTTAATTTATGCCAAAGTAAAATCCCTTAGGGGGAAAAATTAAATTTACATAGATGAATAAATAGAGGTACATGAAAAAATTTTTGTAAAAGTTCTGAATTAATTGTCAGTGAATGAGAATTCACACTGGCAGACTTTCATATCATATAAATGCTATAATTTAAACAATGTAGTATGAAACAGAATAGAATGCCAAGGAATAGACATAAGAATAGAAATGTATCATGTCATCAAATGGATAACTAATCAGTGAAAACAGAACAGATTATTTAATAAAATATATTGAAATAAGAGTATCACCATTTAGGAATCAAATATACTATATTCTTACTTCACATCATACACAAAATACAATTTCCATGTGAACTAGAAATGATAAATGCAAAATACACAACCTGAGATGAGTTCCTCCACATTAAGTATATATTCATATTTAAACTTAATTTATTTAAACTGAATTTCATTTCAGCAAATGGAAAATGAGAAGCTTGGAACAGATGCTCTCTAAGACTAGTTCAAAGTTCTAATATTCTATAACATATGAAATGGGAAGCAGGAAGGAAGGCTAGACTAGTAAGTACATATTGTTTGTTTATTTGTTTACATAATTTAATAATCTTGCAAGTAGTAAAAGATGATGTAGTAAATAAATGTCTGAAGATTTTTGGAGATGGTGGGTGGTTTCTACATCCTCAATTGATCTTACCAAGTCCTGTCACTGTTATTGTTGTCTGGGATTGGATCTTTCCAAACTGGTTTTCAGCTTCACAAATATAGGTTCCTTTATCGCTTGCCCATAAATCTAAAAAGAAGAGATAATTTATTCACTCAGTACCATCTACTGTATCATCTATGAAGCATTAACTACACATCAGGCACAGTGCTGAAGTCTAGGAATAGAAAGCATGGTCCTCCATGAATCCCGTTCTAGGGAATAAGACATAAGACAGATACAATAAACAACAATTAACAGCACAATCTGATAAATACTCTCATATCATCTGAGTTTCAAAAAGCAATTTGTGGAAGCACAGAGACAGTAGTGACTAACAGCCTGTAGGGGAGTTAAATAAGGAGGTAATATCTGAGCTGCATCTTCAAGCGCAGATAGAATACAGGAAGGGTAATCTTCGAAGCAAATGAGCTGCAAATGCAAACTTATAACTTTAAAAGCCATGGTCTGTTTATAGAATGGAAAACTGTACCAGCAACAGACAAAGAACTAGCAAGCAGGTGGGGAGGGGCATTTTGGAAGTGTAGTGGAGACTTTTTTGTTCTTGCAATTATTCTACTAACATTGAGTGAGCAAAAGTTCGGGAGACAACGCATGGGACAGACTCATAAAAAGAACAAGTTCAGAAAGCCTTCTGAAGGTTTCACTGGAAATTCAGGAATTTGATAATCTTCCTTATAATTATCTGAAGCTAGAGCCTAATTTTGTGTCAGAAGAAGGATAGCACTTTAGCAATGATTATCTACCATTCTAAACAATCACATCATCAGCATTGAGTTTTTCAGTCATCAATCCTATGCAGCTGTATCAATTTGCATTTGAGATGTTGAGTTTATAGTGGTGTTGCATAAAAGTGTGTCCATATGGTATAGACATTACCAGAGTTTTTAAAAGTTGAGTTACATATTATTTTACCAGAAATCACTTTCCTTTATTTCATTTTGTATTATACTTGGGTTATGATAGCAAAGTGCTCTGCTGCTAACTGAAAGATCAGCAGTTCAAAACCACTCAGTAGCTTTACCAGAGAAAAATCTGCTCCTGTAATGATTTCAAACGATGAAACCCTATGGGGAACTGTTGTGTAAGGTCAGAATCGACTCCATGGCACCCCAAAACAACAACAGAGTTAATTATATATATATATACCTGCATATATTCATATATGGTGGTGATGGTTGTGGGCCGTGGAGTTGGTTCCGGCTCACAGCAACCCTGTATAGGGTTTCTGAGGTTGTAACTCCTTATGGGAGCAGAAATTATCATCATATATATATATATTCACATGTGTATATATCTGAATATCTTTTCAGAATAATAAGAGGAATATTTTAAAATATTTATTATTTCAAAAGAGATTGTTGGGGCCAATTGGGATGAGGCCCGCTGAGCTAGAAGTTGTGTGAGTCTAGTCAGGATACTGAAATGAAAGCAATCAGCTATCTGAAATATGGTTTTGTTGTATAAGCAATAGGAAAGTCAAGAGAAAATTTTAAATAGGAAAATGATCATTTTTGTAAATGTCTTAAGCAAAATAAACGTAGTTTAAAGTTGAGTCTATTGATAAGATTTTAGCAGAGTAAAAAGTAGGTTTCCATCATGTGTTCTTCCAAACTCTCTTAAACAAAAGCAGTGATAATGTTTATACTGCTTTGTTAGCTCTATGCATATAACTGCAGAACTGAGCTGGGCAAATTTAGGGGATGTTCATTCTAAACCAAGGCAAACATGCATTTGGAGAAGAAAATTTAAAGTCATCTGGCTAATAAGTTATGCATTGCTTCTAACCAAGATATTTTTAATATTATCAACTCTTGGACTGTTTTGTGCAGAAAAACAAAATACTACAGAGAACCAAGTTTCTAATAACTAGTTTCTTCTAGATAACAACCAGGAAACCACTGCTCAATATACATTAGCCTCTTCTTTTATTCTTCTTTTCTTTCATCCTCTCTACTATAATTATATTTAAGTTTCATTGGTGCTCCCTCTGAGTTGTTTTTCATCACCTTCATTACCTTATTGTGAGTTCCCTATTTCTCCCTTTTTCTCAGCTCTCCTCCCATCTTGCTGAAGAATTATTTTGAAATATTATTACATTCCTGTATCCTTTTCCTGCCCATGAGGCTTAATATGCTCTCTATTTCTACCTCATCAAGTGAATTTCTTTACCTTGAAAATTTGCACCCTGCCCAATCTGACCCAATCTGACCCAATCTGAGGAGTACTGCTCAGTAGGAATCTTTTATAGCCATCCACTTTGTGAATTGGAAAATACTTGAGTGAGAAACCCTGTATTTAACTTCTGTCTTCACCACAGAGCTGAACATTCAAGCACTTGAAATTGAATGATTTAATTTTATTTGAACTCATTATTTTACATGCAGCAATACCTATGCCTGAAATATTACAGATGCATCATACAACAACAAATAATGCAAATATACATAGTTGTGTAAAATTATATTTCCTTTGTTGTTGTTGTTAAGTGTCATCAAGTTGATTCTGACTCATAGCTACCCTGTACAGGGTTTCCAAGGAGCGGTTGGTGGGTTTGGACCACTGACCTAGCGGTTATCAGTTCAGTGCTTATCCTACAGCACCACACCAAGACTCTTTCAATCTACTAAAATAAATAAATAAATAAATAAATAAGAGTTCCTGTTCTTAATTGGTTGATGGAAAAGTGGCATTTTACCTAATCTTTGCCATTAAGCAGCCAGTGTGTATTAAATATTGCTAATAAGCATAGGAGTCATTGATTTGAGGCTTTCTACAAAATACCCCAAATATATAATTATATTTTAAAAATCAATCAATCACCTAAACAATTTTCCTCTCCTGGTGCTACCATTCAAATATTCTTAAGAATTTGAAATAATGAAAGGTTGTTTCAAATAATGAGTTGCTTAATAGTTTATAGGTAAAATTTGGGGACAACTTAATATTTGATTTTTCGGATATAGACATAGGGTCCTGATGCACATCATTATATAATGATGGACAAATATAATAAAGTTAACTTACTACTAGTAATACTTAATTTTTCTTTATAAGAGTTGATATAATAGTCAAAAAAAAAAAATTACAAGGACTTTTCCACCAAGAGGCCAAAGTATCTCTATTAGAAAAGAAAGAATGAGAACTCAAGAAGTCATACTGTTTTAGAAGCCTTCATCACAAACTAATGACACACATTTGAATAAAAATAAACCATTTATAACAATCCCCAAATATAAAATTACATTACTATTATAAAGTAAAGCATAATAAACACAAAACGTTGTCAAGATTAACTCCTTTTTGAAAAATAGCAATATCTATGCATGAAATATTATGGATATATAATACACATATACTTATTTGTATAAAATATGTTTTCTTTAACCTACTTAAAATAAAAAGGGCTCCTGTTCTTAGTTGGCTGATGGAGCTAACTGAAAATGGTCTTGAGAAAAGTGGTATATTATCTAATCTTCGCCATTTGATTCTTGGTTCTGGATAACCCTGAACATAGCAGGGTAATGTCACATTTGAGCCAATGTCCATAGACACATCAGTAGGTTCTTGTATGAAAACTGGAGGTGCTGGAAGATATTGAAAAAGGAAAAATAATTAAAAATAAAAACAGATTGTTGATATAGTACACAGACACATTGAATATACACTTAACTATTAAAATCAACATATTAAGTTTGATATAATATAATTTTATACTCTAAATATCTCTCTGATATAGAAAGGGCAGATATTTTTCCTTATATATGAATAAAAAGCACAAAAGGTAAAATTATTTTCTTAAGGTGATATATGATGAAAAAAGTGAGAATTTATATCAAGACTATGTTAACCAAATAGAATTTTCATTTTAGAAATTAGTTTTTAATTTTAATGTATGTCATACTGCTCAAACCTTAAGATTTGTTTACAGATAAGATGCTCTTATAAGAAAATATTTTTGACACTTTCCAAAACTTACTCCCTTCAACTGAAGTTTTAAAATAAGCTTTATACTAGAGTTCTTTGTTCTATTATTGTTCATTGTTACGTTGTACCAATGTAACAAAGTTACAGTGCTTAATCCTAAATCACATCTGTGTTTAAGAATAAGATTTAAGAATATGAAGTAACAGAGTATATTATGTCATAAAGGGAAAATAATCAGCACATACTATTTTAGAAGCATAGTGGCTCTAGAGGATAAGCACTGGACTATGAACCACAAGGTCAGTAGTTCGAGCTCATCAGCCACTCTGAAGGAGAAAGATGAGCATTTCTGCACCTACAAAGATTTACAGCCTCAGAAACTCTATACAGAGTTGTTACGAGTTGTAACCGACTCAATGGTACTCAACAACAACAACAACATCTTAGGCAGAGTTAAGAGAGCAATCAAAAATTGTAAAATTATAGCTACAATGGCTATGGATAACCATATAATTCAGGTAATCACAGGAGCTAGAAGAAAGAGATAGAAACCTTGGGCCACACAGGAATACACTACTGGAGATGATATCGTTAACAGGGCTAAAGAAGTAAGTCTATCAATATGCACCAGAAAACTTGCTAGTAGGGTTGTATGAGGCATCTTTCAAGGGAAATATATAGGATACTTTTGGAGTCTTGGTTTGTCACTGTAGGATAAGCACTGGACTGCAACAACCTTGTTGTTAACCGTTTTTGATAACTGTTTTCGATAACCGACAGCGGTTCAAACTCACCTTCTGCTCCTCGGAAACCCTATGCAGAATCTCTATGAGTCAGAACTGACTCAGCAATTAACAACAAAAACAACACTGGACACAATGGATGAAACCTGCTCATGGAAGACTCTAAGAGATGGTAGCTAAGGAAGGTCTCCTTGATGGAATCAAGGTTAAATGTTGTATAGAAATTACAATAACTATCTCTTATAAAGCCATAAAGTGTGTTAATTACTTTACATTTACTATCTCATTTAATCTTCACAACATCCCTATGATGTAGGTATTACTGTTATCCCAATTTTACAAATGGAGAAACTATGACACAAATAATTAATTTGCTGAATGTCACATGGAATTGGGCAGTAAAACTGGGATTCAAACCAGATAAATCTTACTCCAGAGCCATAATTATTTGTCATTTGATCAGCCCTCCCTTGTCTTTAGAATCTTATAACTGCCCACTGTCACATTTTTAGGTTAACAAAAATGAGTGTGTAGTTCACCTCTTTCCTATTCATGGAAATTCTTGGACCTAGATGCAGTTATCTTGGGAGAGTAGTTAAGTGTGTTTTTTTTTTACCCTGGGTTTAAGGATTTCCTCTAACTTTGCAACCTCATCTCCCACTATTTCCCTGCACAGATCCCAACCTCTGTTCAATCAGAATTCCTCATTCTTCTCCAAATAAGAAGTGAACAAACTTAGTGGTAACTCCAAACATAGAGATATCTGTGTTATTTCACTCCTCTCAAACACAACATCTAGACCTCTAGCTAGGGAAATTTAAAATTCCTTTAATGCAGATCATAAGGCTGCTCCTCTGTGATGTCACCTCTTAACATCCCACAATTTCTTCCATCTGAACTTTCAGAGTATTCATTCTGTATGACTCTTAAGGCAATCCTTACAGTCTTTTGTTTTATAACATATGTCTTACTGCTCCACTAAATTGTAAACATCTAAGCACTTTAGAGTTACAGTTATATTTTTATCGTTAGTGGCAGTAAACACAAATACTTTGTGTATTACAAGTGGCCACTAGATATTCGTGAATGGATTATTGAATCAGTTTTAAAGTACTTCAACAATACTCCTGTGTATGCCCGGGTAAATGTAAGTGTTTGATGACAACCTTGGCCCAGTGCATTTGAGCTCACACTTTGGAAGGAAACATGGTGACGTCAGGAGCTGCTGTTTGTTTATTGAACCTAAACGAAACCAAATTAAATAAAATACCACAGTTGGGTAATGTGCTTTTGAAAAGAAGTGGTGTAGAGGTGTATCTGTGTTTACATGTCTCTTGATCCATCTCCATGGGAGTTGAACTTACAAAAATCACAGACAAAATGGATGTATTTCAAAAATAGTTTGTAATGTAGTCTGTTGCTTATATATCTTAGGTTTCTAAGCTCTAGTTACTTTTCTCTGGTATTGTTAACAGTCTTTTACTGTTTACTTTTATTCTCAAGTAGATAACTGTTCTGAAAAATGGAATTAAGTATAAGTCTCAGAATGAGTCCCAGTACATGTTAAGCTCAGAGTGTGGGTAAGTAAAATGTGGAGATGGGACAGGAATCAATTCCAAAATACCAAAAGGATATCCAAAAGCCTGTGATCAATCAAGTATTGTGGACTACAGGCATCAGTGAAAATAATGACAGATAAGAATTTAATATCAAGAAAGATAAGAAGAAAGTGTTAAAAAGGAAAAGCAAAGCACAAGTTGTGCAAACAAAAAAGCATGGTAGAAGCCATTCTGGGGGAAGACACTTTGGGAATGAACAGTATTAGGCAGCACGAGAAATATGTAAAAAGGTCACCAGTCAGCAAATATTTATACTGGTACCAGAAAACAAGGGTTCTGACAAGGGTTAGCAAAAAAGAGGAAGACCCCCAAAGAGAAAGATTGGCACGTTATCAGAACCAATAAACACAAGCAAAACAACAATTGTGAGCACGGTGCAGGATTGGGTAGTTTGTTTTTTTTTTTCTTTTGTGAAATGGGTTGCTATGACTTGGAGCGGACTCAATGGCGCCTAACAACAGCAACCAGAAAACAAGGAAAATGAGAGTAACAGGCAGTAGACAAGCAGCCAAGACAGAAAGACATCGATGACAAGTAAACCTCAAAAAATGAAGCAATTCATAACTCAGGCCAAAAGACCTTTTAAATACTTCCTACTTCTAAGTGTGGCCAACTTTGATTCCAAGTGAATTACATTGGGCAGATGAAATACAGACTAATGCAAAAGGGGATGGGGAAACAGCTAGTAAGTGTAGGTTAATATACAGTACTGTATAAAGGAAGCTGTGTTGCTTAGAGAGCTTAAGAACACATTTAGTGACTTCAAATGGTAACTCCACTATGTCTTAGTGTACAAACTCGGGCAAATTATTCTACCTCTCTCAGTCGGAATTTTCTCATAAATGAAAAGGAAGATAATAACATTTTATCTCATGTTGTTTAAAAAGTTAATCATCATAAATCATTAAGTACATACATAGTAAGCACCCAGATATTAACTATCATTACACACAAATATTACAGAGTTAATTTAATAGAGCTTAGTTCTGGAATAATACAGTTATTTTCAATCTCATCTTTTTTGGATGCATTATAGTCTATCAAGATCCTGTTGAATACTCTGTGATCCCCTAAGTATTTGTATGCAAGAACCTGAGAACTATTCAGAGCCAAGACTTTATTGTCACTTATCAGTAGATACAGTTGTGTGGGTTGACTATCTTGCTCTAAATCCTACCACGAAATTATTCTCAAAAGATTGAAAATAAATGTATTAATTTCTTTAAACATATATATATATATATGGAGCTCTGGTAGCATAGTGGTTACGAATCAGGCTGCGAACCGCAAGGTCAGCAGTTCGAAACTACCAGCTGTTCCGTGGTAGAAAGATGAGGCTTTCTGCTCCCATAAAGATTTACAGCCTCGGAAACCCTGTACAGGGTTGCTATAAGTCGGAACCAACTCCATGGCACACAACAACAAAAACAACAATCTATATCTATATCTATATCTATGCACTATGGCAACTTTTACGTTGTCTTGGTCAAGCAAAGGTTTTCTTTCCTAAAATGGTTAGACACACTGTTTGGTTATACCAAACTATTAAAACACACAGCCACAGACTAAGACTCAAACCCTCTGTTATGTGGAATGCTGCAAACAAAATTGTTGCCAAGCAAACTTTTGTTTGATGTAGCCAATCTTCCTTTCTTCCAAATGAATTCACAATTCACTCTCCCTCTTCAAAGAAAGGATAAAAATCATTGGTAACTTTCCCTGTTGACCTAAAATGTCCATAACTTAAAGTAATGATAATAAGAAATAGAAAAAAGGAGACTCACTACAAGAAGTCAGAACTCAAGAATAATATTTAAAAATATTTCATTATTATTTTTCAAATTGAGTATTGTTGATGTGAAGTACTAGGCCCACAAAAATAATCCTAAAGCCCAAATAGCAACATGATATGGATAAAATTATGTTTTCCTTCTTATGTCATAAGCCACTTAAATTTATGCCCAATAGTTTTGGAACTCCTTTGAATAATTTTATGCACTACTAACAGTTTAGTATTTAACTTGTTCCAAGTATTTTTTAACAGCAAGGTGAAAGAGTGACTTTCATATCAAAAGCCCAATGATTAATCTTTAATACCAGTTATAACTTAAATATTATAGAAATAGAGATTCAGATATATAGATTACAGATGTTGCTGTTGTCAAGTCGGTTCTGACCCATAGTGAGCACACGTACAACAGACTGAACAACAGCCTGGTCTGTGCCATCCTCACAATTGCTGCTACACTTCAGCATATTGTCACTGCCACTGTGGCAATCCATCTTGTTAGGGTTCTT